CCTGGCCTGGGCCTGGGCCTGGCCCATGCTTGGAGCTCCCTTAGCCCCTAGAAGGGGTAGATCCTTCACACCTCTGGTAGCATGTGATGCAGTCTCCTCAGCCCCTAGCCCTGTGCTGGCCAGGGACCAAGGTGGCTGAAGGGAACATAATGTTTCTGTAGTCTGGGGCTTCAGCTTTGGCCCCAGTATGCTCTCTGGGGGCAACCTTGGGACAGAGCTCAGGAAGGGTCCCAGAGAGAGAGAGAGAGAGTGTGTGTGTGTGTGTGTGTGTGTGTGTGTGCATGGGTGTAAGGGTACACCCAGGGGTGAGGCAAAGCATTGCTGCTCTAAAGAGCCTAAACAGATTGTCCTGGAGGAACCCCTGTTTTCTACCCCTACTTCCCAGAGGCCAAGCTGGGGATTGTGGCCAGGAAGCTTCGGTGAACCCATCTGGCTTAGGGCACACCTCCTTTTCCACACCACCAGTCAGGATTTTACAGTGGTGGCTCCTTCCTGGCATCTAGATCTGGGAGAGAAGTTATTAGGTGGGAAGGAGGTTGCCACCTGCCTGGTGTGCTTTGAAGTTGCTTTAGAAATGTGGGGGACACAGATGGGGTTTGCCTTTGGGGCCCAGTTAGTCCCATGTGTGGAGAGAGACCACTTGCTCCAGAGCTGGAGAGAAGCTGGCTCTTGAAGAATCTAAGGAGTAGAGGTGGGGGCTGTGTTGGACCCTGAAGTAGGGGACTCTGTTGCAGTAGGGGAGAGAGAACGGGTGGGGGTGCCCCAGGCTGGGCCTGAGAAAGGCTGGAAGTCTGTAGGCTTCTCCTCCAGCAAAGCTGTTTGTGGGAAGCTGGGTCAGAAAGCTTGTTTGCTCTGGGGCAGTAATAAAAGCCATTGTTGGTGTAGGGCAGGCCTGGCATCTCCCCTTCCTCAAGGGCAGGGGCAAGGCGGAAGAGGCCCCTACTGACCGTGTCCAGCGCCTGAACTTTGACTGCTGGGAAACCACTTGCTGCTTCCCCTCTCACACTTCCCCCTCTGCTTCCTCTTTCGCCTCTTCTCCTCAGCTGAGGAAGGAGGGGCCTGGAGCGGCCTAGGCTGAGCTGAAATTCCTTGGTTGGCCAAAGGGCCCTGATTAAAAAAAAAAAAATCAAACTCACTGCCATCGAGTGAGTTTCATAGCCACCCTACAGGCCTCAGGTTTTCTGGGGCCACAGGGCCAGAAAGGAAGGCCTGGGGTAGATGCACTTTAGAGGCCAGACTTAGCCCCGCCCCAAGTGGGGTGGCCTGTTTGGGGTGTGTCCTGGGCAGTGCTGCCAGCCATGTGGTGTCTCCAGTGCAGGAAGGGAGGGCTGCTTGCTTGGCCACTGGGCTCAGCTCACTGTACTGGGGCAGGGAGGGGGGAGGACAGACGGGACACTGCAACCACTTCCTTGTGAGGACTGGGCAGGTGGAGGTGGGAGGAGCACCTTCCTGTTCCGTGTTCCCGCCCACTGGGGGGTAGGGTAGACAGGCTTCACCTTCCTGCTAGGCTGGCAGCAGAGATGTTGAAGGGATGGGGTGGCAGGGAGGGGATGCAGGGTTGCCTCAAGTCTGTTGCCTTACTCCTCTGCGAAGAGTCTGAATCTTTTCTGCCTCCCTGGGAGCAGGGCCAGGGGCATCAGGAGTGCGTTCCAGCTAAGTGTTGCTTCAGTGCATTTTGTTATACGGTCACTGAGGAAACTGGAGGCTTTGGGACCTAGGCAGTGAGACCAGAGTCCTGGGCCAACTTTGCTCATCTGAGACGCGAAGGCAGTGCCATGTGCTGCCTGTGGTGTGGGGTTCTTGTGGGATTCCAGGCGGCAGTGTGACCGCGCGAGGAGACACCTAGTTTTGGCACAGCAAGGGCAGGGCATGGTGCCATGTCTAGAGACCTGGCGAGGTGTGGCATCAGTTTTACCTGTGACTTGCTGTGTGGGCATCATTTATCTCACCTGTGAATAGCAGGTACCGCTTGGCCCCCTGAAAGAAGGTGCTTAGGGATTCATGCCGAAGGTCACGTCCAGCCTCGGCAGCCAGAGACTTGATTTATCTCACCCTGCACCCCACCCCTGGGCCACTGCCCCCCTCTTCAGCCTCATCTCCCGCTCCAGTCCCCTCACTTCCCTGCTGCCCCAGACCTTTCCCACTCGTCACCTGCCTAGCCCTCAGGTTGCTGCCCTCAACAACATTGTCTGGTGGTTCCTGTTCCGTGACCCCACAGTCCTTTGTCCTGCCCTCACCACGGCCTCAATTGTT